GGAGCTCAGGACTTACAGTCCATGGAAGAGGATGAATAACAGCATCGCGGGCTACCTGGAACACAGGAGATTAAGGGAGGAAAGAGAGGGATGGGCAATTACAAATTTCTTTGGACCTGCTGAGTTGAAAGTGCTTGGGTGAAGCTGCCTAGGAATAAACTAACCTTGGAAGTGTGCTACCTTCCAGAAAGCCCCACTGGCCGGGAGCAGAAAGGAAGGACTGCGCTGTTGTATGGCCTGTCTGAATAAGCAGCAGAGAAGGACTGACAGACGGCTCAGTGGTCAATAATACTTGCTTTTACCAGAGAACCCAGGCTTGGTTCTCAGGACCCATACTGGGGAGCTCACAACTCCCTTCAACGCCGGTTCCCAGGGATCCAAGGCCACCTTCTGGCCTCTGAGGGCACTGCCTGACGGGGTGCGTGCACAGAGTACTACTACGACCGCTCCTGCCACTGCACGCACGCACGCACGCACGCATAAGCGAGAGCACATGTGCGCACACATATGCAAACACACTAAAAAATTAAAGGAAGAAAGAAAAGAGTAGAGAGTGTTTGATCCTGAATTGAATTTGGACATTAAAAAATTATTTGCATGTGGGTTCATATGTGCACATGTGAATACCCATATATGTACAGTCACCTGTGTGAGCACTTGTACAGGCTGGCGTCACCTCCAAGCATCTTCCTCAATCACTTTTCTACGCTGTTGTTGAGACCGAGTCTCTCACTGAACCTAACACTTGCCCTTTCAACTATGAGTTCCCAGGAGCCACCCGTGTGGGCCCCCACTCTCCAGAGCTCAGTCCCTCTGGGCTTTCCCATGAGTGCTGGGGTCTGAATTCGGGTCTTCACACTTGCCCAGCAAGCTGTTTGCTCACCCCTCCCAGCCTGAATGATTTTCTGAGCTACAGTCTCACACTGCAGTTCAGGGTGGCCTTGATCTCAAAGCAACAATCGTGCCTTAGCTTCCCCAATGCTAGGATTCCGGGTGTGGACCACCACACGCACGCTGGTGACTTTCCTCTTGTGGGTATTTGCTGAGATTCCTGCTAAGGCCAGCTGAAAGTACAGTAGGCAGGAGTGTGACTTCCTGCCTCAGAGCTGAAATAGATACAGGGCAGGCTTTGGCCAGTCTGGTTTCTACTTCTTTTTATAACTGGCGCCCGTTGAATGTTCATACCCAGCTTCCTTGTCGCTGGATTTAGGCAGAGAAAAAGCTTGGGGTGACCTGGGAAATCTGCATACCCCAAGGGACCTCAACACTCAATGCTTTGTTACCGGAGGTTGAGTCCCCAAACCTACATTGGTACTGATACTTGCAAACGGCCATTGGCTTGCAGCCAAGCCCGGTGGGGTCTGTTCTTCAATAATGCTGATAAAATGCATCAGGAGAAGAAACAGTGCTTAGAGGACGAGGGACCCAGGATGTGTATATGTTTAATGTTCATGTGTGCATGAGTACACACGCATGTGTGGGGGCAGGGACCACCTTCCAGAGTCATTCCTCAGGAGCTGCTCACCCTGGCTTTTAAGCAACCTCTCTTATTGGTCTGGAACTCATCAGGTAAGCTAGGTTGGCTGGCTGGGGGGGTCCCAGGGACCCTCCTGTTTCTTCCTTTGTAGTGCTAGGATTATGGGCACATGCCAGCATGCCCAGCTTTTTTACACCAGTTCTGGGCATCTAGTTCAGGTCCTGTAACCACTTTACTGACAGAGCCAGGTACTCAACCATACAGATTTCCCCCCTCTGAGACACATTATACCATACAACCTTGGCTAGCCTAGAACTCTGCATAAACTGAGCTGTCCTCGAACCCATGGCCTGCCTCTGCCTCCCTAGTGCTGGGATTGAGTGCCTTTGCACCTTCATGCCCCACCATAAATATTTTTTTCAGGGATGGAGCCATTTACTAATTGTTCATTATTTATAATACAAAATAATGCTATGTTAGAGTGAGTTTACCATTCTGGGGTGGGAGCTAGTTTCATAGCTTACAGTGTAAACAACGCATCTCAAATGGAAGTTTGGTTGTGTACGGAATAGGTCTCGGAGACCTTCAGTCTTGTTTCCACACTGTTCCCTGACTGTTGGCCTGTGAGAGGTGTGAGGCTTCTGTGAAGAGCTCTGGGGTGCCGTCTGCCAGTTTGGTGCTCTAAGGTACTTGAAAGACTGACAATCCGCACACTTACGTGTGTGGTGTCAATCTGCAAGTGGGTCAGACTTACGAATCGTTCATAAGCATCTGAGCATCCTCGTACTGGAAGAGCCTCTTCTGGCAAATTTCCCTGCAGATCTGAAGCTGGAAAGTTGCTGGAGTGATTACTTCAAAATGAATCACGATATTGGTGCATATGTTATCAATCACACACGGGTTGGGCCGGCGAGGTGGCCGAATGAGGAGAGCGTCTGCCAGGCCAAACAAGCCTGACAAGCTGAGTTTGATCCCTAGAATCTACATAAAGGTGGAAGGAGAAAAGCAACTCCACAGAGCTATCCCTGTGTGGTGACACACAAGCACAGGTGTGCAAACACACACATACCCACATACCACATATAATGATAATAATACATTGCACATTGAAATGTCTATGTACCGACTCTCAGCACAAACAATAAAATCTCAATTATGGAAAAAAAAAGCGCCATAGTCAGGGGAGGGGGAACCCAACATGTGGCCATGTATATGCCTCCACCTACGATTATAGGTTAATGAACCAAGTCCTGCCTAGGCCCACTGTCCCCTCTCACTGGAATTGTTAGTCTTTGTTTTATAAGGTTATTTCCCATTCATCTGAGACACCATTAAAGAGAATATGGCATTGAAATCATTCCCCTCAGTAATGGAAGGGGCTGAGATTAGCTCTGATATCCCTGCAGCTGTTAAGCAAATCAAAAAGGCATTAACCGCAAGCTGAAATTTACCCCGCCAGCTGAGGTAAAGACACGCACTCCAGCCTGTTTAATGAACCCCTTAGCTCTTTACTTGAGGCTTTGTGAAAGCTGTCTGAGGAGTCAGGGCTGCTGAGTCTAGAACTGAAACCCCTGACCCTGCTCTCCAGGGAGAAATGAGCGGCAGGCCTGTGGCACCTCCGCTCCTGATTTCTGTGAGTGTGTTTGAGGGGAGCAGACGCTGTGGACTGGGCCAAGGGGCCATTTTCATTTCAAGACTGAGGACGTAGTATAGTCATTAGCACACTCAAGGTCCTGAGTTCAAGCCTCGGTACCAGAAGGAAAAAAATAGAACGAGACAAAGCTCCCACTTTCTCTGCACACTCTCAATTGTGTTAGAAAGAATGCTCCCAGGGGCTCCGTGGGCTGGGTGCTCAGAGCTGCTGTGTCTGGAGGCTCTAGCTCCTGACCTTGCAGCTCATTTGCATTTTTTACTCTCCTCTGGCCTTCTCTACCCATCTGCAAACAGATGTGATCAGTCCTAGAGTCTTCAGAAGACAGGGCAAATGTTAAACCTCTGTAGTAGGGGCAGGTGAGCCGGCTTAGCCTATTAAAAGAACAGCTGTCACTCAAGCCTGATAACAGAAGGTTGGCCTGTGGAAACTTTACACATAAAGGAAGAAGAGAATCAACTCCAAAAAGTTGTCCTCTAACCTCCACACCATACAGCGGCATGTGTCCACACACCAATCACAAGCATACAACAACAACAACACATTTTTAAAAAGTGTCATCGGAGGCTGGGGAGACAACTCAGCAAACTGCTTGCTTCACAAGCATGAAAACCTAAGTAGGAACTCCAGAACTCATGTTATAAAAGGATCCAGGCATGGTAGCACAGGTTTGTAACTCAGCACTGGGGAGACAGACAGGTGGCTCCCGGAGGCTGGCTGGCTAGCCAGCCTGGACTGCCTTGCCAGTCTCCACTCATTGAGAGACTGCACCTCAAAGAAAAGGTGAACAGCGCCCAAGAACTGACACATGGGATTGTCTTCTGGTTTCTACATGCACATACATAATGTAAACACACACACACACACACACACACACACACACACACACACACAGCACTACATTACAAATGCAATTCTCCTGGCAATGGCTAAGTAAAATGTGTTCAAATAGGTAAGTGAACAGAAAACATACATTATACTTTTCTTTTTGTGTATGGTAGGTGTCTGCACATTTGCATGTGTCCATAAGCAGGTGGAGGCAGAGGTTGGCACTGGGCTTCTTCCTTGATTGCTCTCCATTTTACTTACTGAGGCACAGCTTCTTACTGAGCTCAGAGTTCACGAATTTATGAGTCTAAGCAGCCAGCTTTCCCCAGGGAAAGTCAGCTTCCCCTATCTCAGCCTCTTGAGCACTGGGACTATAGGCAAGTCACATGTGCACCTGATCTCTCTCTCTCTCTCTCTCTCTCTCTCTCTCTCTCTCTCACACACACACACACACACACACACACACACACACACACACACTGGGGATTTCCACTCTGGTCCCTATGCTTGTGCTGCAAGTTCTTCATCCACTGAGCCATCTCCTCAGCCCTCTGACATCTTTTGATACTTTATCCTCCTTTGCCAAAAGGAACATTTCAATCAGTCCTTTTTGAGATAAATACTATACATTTCAAGGTGCTCCAGTGGTACTTGCGACAGAAGCAAAGGCCACAGAAGCTTGGGATAGAGTTCTAAGTGACACCGAAAAAGATCCCAGGACTTGTGACACAATACGAGTCTCAGTTTACTCTGAGATTTATGACCCTCTCCCTCGTTACCTCTAAAATAAAGTTTTATCTTCGTTTCACACATGCACACTCACACAAGTATGCAAGCCTGTGCTCAGTGTGCACACCAATGGGCCCAGAACAGGCATATCCGAGTTTCCATCTTCTCGGAATGCAGCAGTGCTAGGTATGACCTTTATCCTTAACCACAGAGCAAGGCACACTTGAGCCCCCATTTCCTTGGAGACACTTCATCCTTGTAGGCTCTTCTGATGAAGAGCAAAGAAGCCAAAGCAGGAGTTCCAGGAGTACCTACCTGACACAGAAGTACAGAACCACAGGCCCAGATTTTTTGGGGAAGTCGTGTTCCAGGACTCTTCGATCTAGTTGGAGCCAGTTCAAGTGTCCCCTGGAAAAAGGAGAGACAGCTGGTCATGTTGAATGTGTGGGTGTTTGGAAACGAGCCTCTCCACAGAGCAGAACCCACTGGGTTGTAGACACTTGGGGGCTCCTGAGTCCTTCCTAGTATTTCAGTATTGGAGAGACACAGATCTCTTTCCCCACCCTGGGCTGTGTGCTTTTCCTGCAGGACTCAGACACGCTTTAATAACATGCTAACAGTCCTCACAGCACCCTACAGAAGCAGCTCGGATGCCACATGAACCACAGTTTTGTTATTATTTTTTAATGTAAACCAGTATAGGATCAACCATTATTCTATTTCTAGGCATTCACCTTCGCGCCCCACAAAAGAAAGCATTTGTTTACACAAGGTCCCTTGCACCCAAATTCACAGATACTGTTTATGAAAAGACACCAGGATGGCCCAAACTTAAAGCAGCCCTAGGGCTTACCAGCAGAGGAAAGAGTGATGGCATAATCTCCAAACAGGACACTATACAGCAATAAAGAGATAGTGCTATTGCTACAGGCAGTAATATGGATGGGCCTGAAAATAGTCAGGTAGACATGAAGGATTTTAAAAAGTATGTAGATGACACAAATTCCATTTTTGTAAAACTCTAGAAAACACGAACTAATCTTTAACTCCTGAAAACAGACTGGGGGTGAGGGCTTTTGTAGGAGATGGCTCCATGGCTATGCTCTTAGCTGCATATTGGTTTAATTTAAAAGAATTGAGGGTCTCACCCTCAATGAGGCTGGCCTCATGCTTATTATGTAGTCCAGGATGACCTTAAAGTTCTAACCCTCCTCCACCCTCCACATCCCAAAGGCTGGGATTACAGGCATAAACCACAACGCCCTGCTTTGGTGTGATGTTTCTCTAGCCATGAACTGACTAGAAACCAAAGTATGAAAATGGGTAGAAGCAGAGAGAGGAAGGGGTGGGAATAGTCCTAAGCTGAAATCCTGCTCCTGGGGGAAGTGACATCTCTCTGTCTGTGTTATCTAGCCTCCAACCGTTAGGCTGGACCGGATGGCGAGGAAGCCTCAGGGGTCCTGCTGTCTCTGCCTCCACCGTGCTGGGATTATAAGCGCACTGCGTCATGCCAGACCAACCCGTTCCTAGAGCCTGTAGTTATTATAGATAAGGCTGGGTGTGGGCTGGGGCTAGGAGCTCTTCAAATGGGACCATCCGGAGCCACTTAATATCTTGGATCCTTAAGTAAACAAGTTCATCATGAATGGTCCAGGGATATTGATTTATCTAGACATCGCTACACAGCAGAGAAAGAGTCAAGCAGGGTGTGTCCTGGGAAACTACAGTACAAATGGCTGCTTCTAGCAGAGTCTGGCTGTCTCTTTCTAGTAATATAACATTGTTCGTTCTAAGATGTCATTGTTAGGGCTTCAAAGTTTCTTTTTTCGTATGTATGTGTATATTTGTATACATATGGGAGGTAGGTATGTGTGCCTGTGTGTGTGTGTGTGTGTGTGTTAGAAAGTGTAGGGCAGCACATGTGTGCAGTGCAAACGCAGGCTTGCGTGTGGGTGTGTAGGCCAGAGGTCCCTGTCGGGGGTCTTCCTTCATTGCTATCCTCTTTATATATTGCCACAGGGTCTCTCACCTGTACCCAGAGCTCAGTAACTTGCCTGGTTTAGCTAGTCAGCTTACTCCAAGGATCCTGTCCCTGCCTCTCGAGCCCCAGGACTATCAGCGGGCCTTGATGACTGCCTGGCACTTACATGGGCCCTGGGGACCGGAACTCTGGTCTTGATGTTTGCATCTCTCCGGCCTCTTAGATTTGGTTTGTAACAGCTCCTCTGTTGTGTTAACTACCTCTTCAATACAGTGTGAGGCTGACTGACTTCAAACACCAGTTATTCCCGCATCTCCTGTGGCTAAATATTTTGTTGCTGTTATCAAGAAAACAAATGTATCAATTTTATAATATGCCCAAGAGAGCCATATTCTCTGTGCGTATGTGCTTTCATGCATGTGTTTGAGCTTAAACATGTGTGGGTACACATTCATGTGTGTACGTGTGCGCACACACAAAGCTGAGGCTGGGTGTCTTCCTTGAAGGCCTTCCACTTTATTGAGACAGACTCTGTAGCTGAACTCAGAGCTTACCGGCTCCAGCTTGCCCGGTTAGGAAGCCTGGCCAGGGTTCCCCTGTCTCTGGCTCCTGAGGGCGTAAAGAAAGTTTCCACGCTTGCCCAGCCTTTGCTTGGATTCTGGGGGAACCTCAATTCTGGTTTTCATGCTTGTGGAGCAAGTACTATATCTGCTGAGCCATCTCCCCAGCCCTGAGGCCTATTTTCTTATAGATTCAGTGACCGTCACCAGGGACAGCCAATGCTCGCGTCCCCAGTGTGAGGTGCTCAGGAAGAATTCTTTCTGCGCACCTAGTCTAAGAGCCAGGCTCTTCAGAGCCATCATTGGCGCTGAGTGGGGTGGGGGAGGAAGAGACTGAAGTGCCTAGCGCCGTCCCGAGCGGCGCCATTCTTCTTCATCTGTCTCAGGTACACACATATAAAGTCATACTCTAGTGCCTCCCTGGTCACTCGACATAAGGTGCTGTTGTTTGCTGTGATGGGTGACAGTGGAGCGCTCGTCTCAGAGGCTGTCAAGATCACTAAATGTCAGGTTCCCAGAACCAGCTATGACAGCCCATGCATGGCTGGCTGGAGCCATTGACTTTTGCTGTCCTGCTGTCGAGGAGTTAATGAGTGGAAACTCCAAGCCCAGTTCTAAGTAAATTATGTTCCCAGAGCTACTGCTGCTGGTTCTTGTTCCCAAGGTAAGAAAATTGCTTTTGAGCTTTGCTTGTGTTCGAATGGTAGATACACCTGTGGCTTCCGCTGGACTCTTTGCAGATGCCTCAGCCGTTGTCATGTGTTCCGTGTGAGAAGGGGCAGAGAGCAGTGACACGCTTTATGAACCAGCATGCCTGGCAGTGGGTCAAGGATGTGTTGACAACAAGACATTCATTATTTAGCTAAATCTGACTCCTGGGCCTGTGCCAATCAAGCAATTCAATTAATTATGACATAGGCACTAGGGGATGGCTTAGTAGATAAAATCCTTGCCGCACAAACATAAGGGCCAATTTTGATCCACAGCACCTACATAAAAAGGCAGGTGTGTGGGCACCCTGGAAGAGCTGGCCTGGGGCATGGGTGTGGGATAACTGGAGGGCTGACCAACTCAGCTACCACCAAGGCCCAGATCCAGGGCTTTGAGTTGGTGCACCACAGCGTCTACCCCATCTGTGAACTTCTGGAAGGGCTTTTCCTTCAGAAGCAACGTTGCAGAATTTCCACGACACAGGGCAACAACAGGATTTCTGAGAAGAGTCCGGTGAGGATCTAGTATTGGTGTAGCAGAAGCCAGAGGCCTTGAAACAGACCGATGACTCATTGCAATGAACACTTGCAAGTAAAACTGTTTGGGCAAAGGGATGCAACACACCGTAGCTTCCGGGTCAAGATTTTGTTTTGTTTTGTTTGGGGGAGGGGTTGTAAGGGGAAAAGGCAGATATGGAGGAACAAGGAGATGAGTGGGACTAGGGTGCATAGTGTGAAATTCACAAAGAATTAACAAAAAGTTAAAAAAATTCGGGTGTGCTGGCGTGCTGCCTTAATCCCGGCTTTGGGAGGCAGAGACGGCCGGGTCCCCGCTGGATTTCTGGCCATCCCTCTTTGCCTAATTGGTGAGCTCCAGGCCGATGAGACCTGCCTCCCTCCCAGGTAAACGACATTCCTAGGGTTGTCTCCCGGCTTACACAGACACACATGTGCACCCACATACGCACACACACGAAGAAGAAAAGCTGTGATACAGAGAAGCCAAAAGAAATAATCCTTAAATGACTACTTTTTATGTCTCGGACCAGGACTGTGGCCTCGGGGTGCCTGTGACCTCTCTAAAACCTAAGCAAAACTTTTATGTGCCAACACTTGTGGAAGAGAAGGAATGTAAGTCCGTAACTAATTTCAGAGGGGCCAGTGATGAAATAACAGGGTGAGAGCCCCTCATTTTCTTAACTGGCATATGAAAATACATTCTGACTGTACTTACACAATAATGGCTAATCTGTCTTTTTTTTTTTCCCTTCAAATGTCTAAACACATCTTAAAAGTACTTTTAAAAAACATGGATATTCAATTATACCATCTGATGAGCAATTCATAAAATTGGGGACAGGAGACAGAAACTTAATTGCAATGACAATACTTCAACTTGCGGTTTGCTTGACTGCTTATTTTGGCTAAAGTTATCTAGTGTTTGGTTTTTGAGAGCAGATCCTTTGTCTTCTCTCAGTCATTAACTTAAAAATATTAAAATTTGGGAATTAAAAAAGCAATGCAAGTATTTAAAAATAAAATTGTAAAAGAGACTCTCTCTAAATGCATGCCAGTGTTGGATAAATGAAAATCTCAGTTATGCTGTTTGTCTGTTTAGGTTGCATTTTATAGTATAAGCCCATAGCCTTCAGTGTGCTAGGAAAGTACTCACGCTAAAGCACTGACTTTTGTGCCCTCATTCCTCGGTTATGTTCTCCGTACATGTGGGAACACTAAATCTGACCTTGGGCGGTGATTCTCAACCAGTTAGAAACAGTGCCCGGAAAGTAGCCTCACTCCAGTGTCCCAGGCCCCTGGGATACGTCAATGGGTGTTGATCTCTGATAGTCTAAGCTCAAGTGGAATCAGTTGCTCTTAAATCTGGGTCAAGGGGACATAAAGAAATTGGTTCTGACATTCCTGGTCCCAGAACCAGGCTTTTAAACTTGGCTGTACATCAGAACAAACTGGTGAATCTTTGAAGGAAAAAACCCAAACCAAAACACACACACACACACACACACACACACACACACACACCCCTCAGTTTATGTTACCACAGTGGAAAGGAACCCTGGCTCCAGCCACATGTGAGAAAGTATTCTAAGGGGCTGGAGATAAGGCTCCATGGTTGAGAGCGTGTTTTGCCCTCGTGGA